ATTGCATGGCCCCACACTACAATCTCCAAACATGTAGAAACCTGGAGGTAAAGACAGACTCATATATTTTCTATAGGAGGTGAACCTGACCCGGAGGTGAGGGGCTCGTCATGTCTTACGCGTGCCCAGTTTGATGCACTTTTTGGGGGCTTTTAAGCTCCTGTCTGAGCCGCAGAGATCCAGGGGGACATGCGGTTTTACTGAAAGCATTCTCACTCACTCTAATGTCACTGTGCGCGACAAAGACATATCCGCATGAAACCAGAGAAGAAGAGAAGGAGGGAGGGATGCAGAAGGGAGGGGGAGAGAAGAGAGTGAGAGAGGATGGGAGTAAAAAAAAAGAGGGAGGGAGGAGAGAGATGAGAATGGAGAGGGGTGTTTTAGCAATATAACAAAAGATTGGTTTCTCAGGCTGACCACGCCCACATGAAGTAACTCTGCATTCAATTGTTTTCCAACTCCCACCTGGACCTCGGATTTGACATCACGTCTGAGCTTGAAGTGTATTTCTCTTCCGTTACAACCTTTAAACTCACATTTGTTCAATTTTGCATTTTGTCAGTCTCAATACAGTTACAATAATTCTAGGTTCTTTTTGTTAATTATTACATTGGACATTGTTCATTTAAATATACTTTATTTTGTTAATTCATTTCAGTTTCCATTCATCATACTCACCTGCAGCTCCACATGGTCCAGACAAAAGAGGGGGCGTGTCTCATGTCAGCCATTTTAAAATCTTGGAGGAGGTCAGGGGAGAGCTGGTTTGAGTTCTGTTTCATTATTTTTTGTGTATTTGGTTTTATAGTTATTTTCAGCTGTTTAGTTTATGTTAAACATTTTGATTTTAGGAATAATCCTTGCTTTGCTTTGCAGAGTTACCTGGAACTGATCCTCACCTGGGGGAGGTACTTCCTGTTGGGCGGAGTATGAAAGCAAGAAGGTGTCATCAACTGAGAGAGACTTCTGTGGAGGTTGTTTGGTGGTTTTTAATTTGAATTACTTATTTTCTAGTGATGGTGAGATGAAGCCCCATGAAGCACTGAAGCGTTCTGTCCATTTGCTCAACTCTTGAGCCGATGCTTCAAGGTGCTTCATTTGCTCCACTGCGCCATCAAGTGGACAAAAAATGTATAACAGGCAGAGTGAAAATAGAACAATCAACATGATCATCAAGGTTCTGATTGAAAGATTTATACTGAATACATGGACGATTAAATATTTGAATGTTTATGATTTCAACATAAAGTGTGAATGTATTAACCTGCAGTCTGTGTTCATGATATAAAGGTCTGGTTAAAAGGGCTTGTGTTACGACTTTATGTCTGTATTTATGCCACAATAAGGATGGCAAAATATGGTAATTTTATTCAGTTTATATAAAATATCAGTTTCTCCACAGTATTTGGTGAAAAAAACCTTTCACAGTGCACAGATGAAACAGGCGTGCTCCATCGCAAAAAACAAACAAACAAACAAAAAAAAGGATCTCAAATAGAATGTACCAACGCAAAACCACGAAATGTTTTGAGTGAATCCGTTGTGTTTCACTGGCCCTTATGTTTCGAATCACGCCAAATCCGCGAACCACTTCCCGAACCAGTCACATGGTACGGGCGGTTCACGAGGCTTCGAATGTCACCACATACGTCACAGATACAAGCCTCGATACACACTTCACCAAAGCCTTCCTGGATTACTTGACACACGCTTCGAAGTCTTGACACATCTCATAACATCACTATTATTTTCTGTTTATCTGTACTGTTGTTGGTATTAACTCCAGAAGTCTGTTTTAAAATAAATTTTTTTTGGCTAAAGACACCTTTTCTGTTATAGTCTGCCTCCTACTTTGACCACGTCAGGCCAGCTTCCCCACAGACATTAACACCTGTTAAATCAAGTATTTGTTCAATATTGGCCTCACCACAACACCGACTCCCAAACTCACAGGCAGTGATACAGACACTGTAAATCACTGCTGTGATACAAGTGACTGAAATTGTCATTAAACCACCGAGGTGTCCAAACACAATGAAAACACTTCATATTTACACGTCACACTGGGTGTAGCCATCTTGGATTCTGACACAGAATCCTTGCTCGGTCTACTTTTTCCATCACCAAGATCCAAGTTGCGCTGTCCCAGGAAAAGGGGCGTGTCATGCATGTCAGCTACTGCCTCCGAAAACCGATTCGGTTTTTACGCAGGGTAACAACTCACATAATCAGACAAAGTCAGATCCAGATGAATCAATGCCTGCTCAAATGAGTATCTGCTATAAGTATCGATTCATATCTGATTTCAAATAAGTGTCTTGCCTAAGGACACAACAACAGTAGCTCAGTTGGTAGAGCGTTTATCCATTGAGCCTCCTGCTCTTGACATAATCATCATTTGTTGAGGGGTCAGATCCACCAACCCACAGTTTGGCGGCGCGACTCCAGCTCCCATCGATGAACACTGTTGTTGTGTCCTTTGGCAAGACACTTAACCTGCATCGCTCTGTGTCTGTGTACACTGGTTTCCTATTCAAGTCCCAACCAGACGTGACCCCGCTTAGCTTCAGAGCCCAAACACAATCAGACATTGACAAGCTGATATGGGGTTTCATATTCAAACATAAATTACTTTTCAAAGATACAGAAGTGCATTCATTTCAGAGTTGGACACAGCTCCTGGTTTGGAGCGTTGGCAGTTTAATTGTAGGTGTCTGGACTGTACCTGTTAGAGCCGCCAAAACACTGTCAATGAAGTTTTAATGAAGCAAAATCACTGTAGTTTTAATCAGGCTGAAATGTACATGACAGGCCCATTACATTACAGGCCACAAATGAGAGTAAAATATGAGAGAATATAGTTTTATTTATGGATTTCTTTTTTATAGTATACAATTTGTGTCTGTAGTTATCCTCTCCTCCTCTCAGTAAGGAGGTTGTGGGTTATATTCTTGATCTCTTTTACCTAATCACAAATATACCTGGAGTTGTGTTTTGTTTTATTACCTGGTCCCTGAAGGGTTGACCAGGTTTTGTATTCACCCTGTGTCTGTGTGTGTCTGTGTGTGTGTGTCTGTGTGTGTGCACCTGCGATAATTCTGCCATTTATGGACTAATTGTCACCACATTTGGTATGTGGGTCAGGCCCCTGTGCCTGATGCCGCAAAAAAAAAAAGTTTGGTGACGATCCAAGGTCATTTGAGGTCACACGGGTCAATTGAAAGGTCACACCAGTATAAAGGATCAGCAATTTCGGCAATTTCTGAACCATCTGCGGTCTAAAATATTCACCCAAACATCACACAAGTTAGCACACACATAACTGGGGTACACTGGATGTTACAGGTTGAAACCGGTCAAGATCACTTGAAGGTCAAGGTAAGTAAGGTCAAATATGTGTTTTTGGTCATAACTCGGTGTAAGATCGAGCTTGAGCAATGGGAGTGTCTCAAAATCTCAGAAAAACTATTATCTATTCATTATTTTTGCATTTGTATAGTAAAATATTAATAGTTTTTGAGATAATGACTAATTATAACAGTTGCTTTCTTTTTCAGTGTATGCCGCTAAAATTCTAATTGGAACAAAAACAATACCCATTTTTTCTTTTTCTGGTGATACACAACACACTGATCTACAGTCACACAACTAACATATACGGAACATTTTGGTTCCACACTAGTAAACACAGACATTCTCATGTGTGACCAATATCACACAAATGTTCATGGGCCTGAACAGATACACACATTGCATTGTGGATATAATGATCATGTAATATGGGCTGGACTCCTCATAAACTGCTTCTGTGCTTATGAACTGACCCCACCGATGCCTCATGAGGACCAGGTTGATTATCTCCGATTGTGCTTGTTCACGCATGTTTAACACAAAAACCATGTATATAGACGAGTTCTGACTTCTCCCAAATGGAAACCACTCTGTTCCACCTTGTGATGTCATGTCATAATACAGGGAGGGCTCCAGTGTGTTTTTAACCTTCACTAGAATCATTTGGATTATTTCAGCCCTGGAAATTTCTACTGTCTCTACTGAAATCAAGGTAAAAGGAGCTGTTCACCAGAGAGAAATACTTCTTCATGAAATCACTTGTGGAACAGAGTAGTTTGAGCTTTGGACATGTAGCCAGACTAATACCAGACTAATAATAACGGGTTACTCAAACATGTGTGAATAAACCAAAACACAACTCCAGGTACAGAGTCAATTTTGTGTAATATAGAACCTAATAAATAAAAGAATAATCATGATCCATTGTTCTTGATCATATCTTTATTTCAGTGTAAACAAACTCTCAGAGGAGCTTCAGCCAGGATCAACATCAGATTCAAACATGATTCAGTAATTTTACATTAAAATAATATGATTTCAAAAACTGCCTTTCAAAAACATTTCAGTCTTGTTTGCTGGAGAATGATCGGATATATTCTTTACATGTAACTGTCCAATTTTGAAATATTGAGCTGTAAATTTGGGATTTGGAGAAAAAATGTAACTTGATTATCAAATTTCAGCAACAAAACAATTTTCCAAAACATCCAAACATTCCAAAACCAGTATAATAAGAACTGGATAAGACATCTTCTGTCCAAGGTTGACTAGTGGCCGCTTCAGGTACTGCAGTATTTTGTAGGATTCTTCTGTATTTTTACAAGAAGTTTTAAATCGTCAAACTGCCTAAAAGCTTTGAAAGTTTTAGTTTATCTTACAAAGTTAAAGGTGCACCATGTAACTTTTTGGTTGAGGGTCCGTCACCTGCTTGTTTCTATGGCTATCATTGTTCTGCCTGGAATGTTCCACAGTATGACATTAAATTAAACACAATGGTGATGGGTTGGTCTCTGTGATGATAGTGGGTTTAATGCCATACTGTGAAACATTCCAGACAAAGCAATAACATGTTCACGGAGAAAAATGTTTGACGTACCCTCCGTCGGATAAATTTACGCAATGCACCTTTAACTTTGTAAGATTTAGCCTTTTTAGATTTTTGTTTTTTTTTTCGCGTTAATGAGCTCAGGCCACTGAAAACACCACAACGCCATCTTTGGTTCATCTTCAGATCTTTTTTTTGTCAGGAAGTGTGTGTTAGCATGCTAGTTGTTGTTAGCTTGGCGACCTTGTTGACAAAACGCGGCTTCGCTCTCTGAAAGTTTGACATATTGTTTTGGGGTTTTGGGCTTTTTATGTGTCCTTGGGCAAGACACTTCTACCAATTGCATCTGCGTAAACATGTGTAATTTGTTTGTTAAAGGTGCACTGCGCAACATTTCTAGTGGAGGGTCCGCCACCTGCTCGTCTCCATGGAAATGTCGTTGCTTTGTCTAGAATGTTCCACAGTATCGATCAAACCAAATAAGGAAAACGAGAAGGTTACAGCACCATGCTACATTACAGTTCAGATCTGTGGAGAGGCGAAACACTCATAATGATAAATGCAAGATGGTTACATTGAAAGTCTTATCATGGAACATTACATAACATCGCCATGGTGACAAGCAGGTGGCAATGTTGCGTAATGTTACGCAGTGCACCTTTAAAGACCAGGACAAACGTCTGTTTCGTATCTGGCATTAGACTCGACCCATTTCATAGAAAGAGCAAGGATACTTCAAGGTCCTCTTAAAAATACGAAAATAAAATTCAAACGTACTCTTCTCCTTCTCCTCGGGTCTCTGTAAAAATAAACCACAAACCTTGAACCTGGGGCGTGCAAATGGACTTTTTCTGTAATTTTCACATTTTAGAATTGACTTAATAATTACGTAATAAGAAGCGAGTTTAAAACGGTGAGAAAAAGTCCTTGGATGTGAGGAGGCTGTTTTGAGAAGCAGTTTGTTTTTGTGCGACAATAAATAATAAAATAATTAAACAGGTCCATTTGAAAATCCATTCGTTCCAACCCGAAATGCTCGTTCTGGCTTCGGTCTGTACAATGATAACAGGTCCAAAAACGCAGCAAAAAACACCAGACACATAACACGAACTGACTTGAATTCTGAATATTAACCTTTATTTGACTTAAAGGCGCATTGCGTAACTTTCCTGGTGTGCTTTTCTCCGTGGAAATGTTATTGCTTTGTCTGGAATGTTTCACAGTATGGCATTAAACCTTTCTATTTTCACGGAGACCAAACCAGACCAAGTTACGGGTCAGATCTGTGGAGAGGGTAGAGCTGTTTAATGCCATACTGTGGAACATTCCAGACAGAGCAACGACATCTGCATAGAAACAAGCAAGTGACAGACTTTCTGCCACAAAAGTTACACAGTGCACCTTTAAATTAATTAAAGATGCACTGTGTAACTCGCTTGTTACCATGGAGATGTTATCGGTTATTGCTTTGACCGGAATATTCCTTAACATGGCATTAAACCGATCTTATACAATCTTGCATTTGTTCGATTACAAAGACATGTTTCTTACAGTGAGCTGGATCGCCTCTCCACAGATCTGAGCTGTAACATAGCCTGAGCATTCTACTAAACCATCTCCATGTAGATAGAAAAGCTTAATGCCATAGTGTGAAACATTCCAGGCAAAGCTCATTTCCGCAAAAGTAAAGTTTGGATTTTTAAATCTTAAGTTTTCTAGGTGTCACTTGCTTGTTGTTTCCATGGAGATAAGAGGACTTTAAAGCCATATTAAGGACCATTCCAAGAAAACAAAGCATTATCATAACTCTAAAAAAGTTACACGGTGAATCTTTTAAATTCAAGTCATTTTAAATCATGTGACTCGGAGTTTTTTGCGGCATCGTAGTGTTGAATGTAGTGTTGGATGATTCAGGTTAGTATTTGCTCATTTCATGACACAAGTAACAGAAAGACACAAAAGCAGCGAAAATAAAACAGGAAATTTACATCAGTGCAACAAAAATAATGTCATTAAAATATATACAGGCAAAAAAGACAAAGCAGAAGAAATAAATCCAATATGGAGGATAAGAAATGCACAGTTCAAATGTGTGATTGAGTGTGATTGGTCTGGCCCGCTTCAACAAACTTGGGCTTTAAAGGTACACTGTGGAACTTTTCTGGTGAAGTCTTTGCCGCCTGTTTGTTGCCGTGGAGATGTTATGCTTTGTTCGAGAATGTCCCACAGTATGGTATTTTTTTTTATTTTATTTATTTATTTTTAGCAATTCGAAACACCTGATTAAATATGATATAGATACGTTTAATGCTATACTGTGGAATATTACAGACAAAGCAATAATATCTCAATGGAGACAAGCAGGTGGCAGAATTACTTATTTAACCTTTGACAATCTACAAAAAAATAAGTATCCCATTACCAAACGCTGGCCTTTAAAGTTGCACTATGAAACTTTCCTCGTGGAGTGTCCATTATCTAATTGTCTCCATGGAGATTTTACAATTTTTGGCCTAGAACATGTAGATGACGCTACCAGGTCAAGTTATGAGCCAGATCTATGGAGAGATGAGCCCCTTTAATATTTATTTGTTATTTTTTCAGACTATAAGCCACAATTTTTTCATGGTTTGGGTGTTTCCTGCGTCTTATACTCCGGTGCGACTCCGGTAATCGAGCAGCAGAAAGAAAGTTTGGAGTGAGCGCGAAACTTGTGAGGGACTGGGGGAAAGCGGGGATGGAGAACACAGCTTAACGGCAACCGGGAGAATGCGCCATGCAACTTTCCTGGAAGTCACTGAATGGATGGACAAAGCCTGGACTTCAGTGACAACCGAAACCGTCCTGTCGGGATTCAGAAAGGCTGGAATAATTCTAACTGGAACTGATGCTGAGTCTAACAACAGCTACGTTTATGCTCTAGTTATCTCAAGAACTGTTCATATGTGACAGTCTCTTGTTCTCTGTTCTATTGTTATTACTAGAACTTGCAAAATGAAATGTTGGTTCCTGGTCTCTGATTTTATAAAATACATTTCCCCCAAAAAGTGCAACTTCTAGTCCGGTGGAATTTATGTAGTTTTTTTTTTCTTCATTACACATTTTTTGGCTGATGTGATTTATACTGGAATGACTGGAGCGACTATGGTCCGAAAATACGGTATTTAAGGTAGATCAGTTTAATGCCATACTGTGGAACATTACACGCAAGCAATAACTCCACTAGAAAAGTTACATAGTGCACCATCAGCCTTCTACAAATAAGTATCCTATTACATGTAATGCCATACTGTGGGGCATTCCAGGCAAATTAACAAATCTCCATGGAGACAAGAACTTTCTACATAATATGCTTATTCCATTACAGATAGACCAGATTAATGCCATATTAGAGGCAAAGTAGTCGCATCTCCATGGCGACAAGCTTGTTAAAGGTTACACAGTGCACCATTAAACTTCTACATGAAATAAATAACCCATAGGTGCATACGGTTAATGCCATATTGTGGGAAATTTCAGGCAATGTGGTAGCAACTCCGTGGAGACCACCACGCAGTAGCATCTCCATGGAGACAAGAAGGTAAAAAAGTTACATAGTGGTCCTTTAACTTCTACAGAAAAGTATGCAATTACAAACCAGTGGACCGTGCCTTTAAAGGTGTATTGCGTAACTTTTCGGGTGAAGTGTCCGTCAGATGCTTTTCTCTGTGGAGTTGTTAGTGCTTTGTCTGGAATGTTTCACAGTATGGCATTAAACCTTTCGATTTTCATGGAGACCAAACCAGACCAAGTTACAAGGTCATGTTTGTTTTTCTAGGTATTTTTGAACTATAAAACCACCTTTAATTAAATGTAAATGTAAAGTAGAGCTGGTTAATGTCATACTGTGGAACATTCCAGGCTTAGAAATTACACATCCATAGAAACAAGCAAGTAATGGACAACCCAGCCAAAAATGTTACACAGTGCACCTTTAAGAACATCTTTACTTTGAGACGATACGCACTTTCGACAGCGTTTTATCTCCTCCTTTTTCAGATTTGCCCTTGAAACAAAAAAAACAGCAGACAGTTCATTTCTTTTGTATCTGACGCTGGATTCGTGTGGATGTGTATTTATCTATTTTTCGCTCAAATCTCTCTTTTTTCATTTTTCCACATGTCAAAAGTTATTCCCATGAGACTCCCAGCATCAGAGGCTCCTGTCTGCAAAGGCCCCATCCCATTACACACACGTTTACTGATTCAGACCAGACCCACTGAACGCAACAGGCACGCCATCTTCTACACTGCAAAAAAGGAGACATCAATGAGTTACCTGAATTCAGAATATGATTTAGATTTGAGTAAGTCTTATGATTTTAGAGGCATGAATCAGAATACATCACTATCTCTGTTTATAATACAGAGGGAAGTCAGTTTTGTCTTTGTCTTTGTGTTATATTTGTTTATTTCAGTGACACGTACATAGATTGTTAAGAAACTGAGCATGGGGGCGCTTCTGGCTCCATCAACTCTAGCTTCAGTTCACAAGCTGTTGCCTCTCTGTGTAACTGCTGCCATTAGACTCCTCATTTTGGTCTTAAACTGTTCGTATTAATACGCTCGTGTTGTTGTTAAATCAAGATATGAACATTAATAACAAACAAATCTGGTGCCTTCTTTCCCCGATGTTGCTCCCACTACACCCAGTACACCCCTAACAACTTCGCTCCTGATTAGCTCTTTGCTTGCAATGATACTTGCAGTCACAATTTCAAATGTGGAACTCAACCATAGACCGTATACCGTATTTTTCACACTAGGTCTGGATTATAAGGCGCTGTCACTGAATGGTCTATTTTCGAACTTTTTTCCACAAATAAACCGCACCGGACTTTAAACGAAACACAACAGTTGGATGGGTCAGTGGGACTTTGTTTGTGGCGTTCACGGTGACTCTGGGCTTTGTTCAGTTGTGGCGTGTAGGGAGGTGCTGTCTGGGACCAACGGATTGTGGGCGTGTTCACAGTGACTCAGTTGTTCAGTTGTGTCTAGAAGTGGCACATTGCACTCGCTTTTTCAGTTTGTTCCTCCGCTCCATTCCTCGTCGGCGTGGAGTGATGAGTGTGGCTGCGGGTTTTTTTCGCTGTGTGGTCGCTGTCTGCTCCGTGTGTGTTTGCGTGCGCTGTGGGTGGTGTGGCTTTGTAGTTTACTGAAGTCGTGCTGGGACACCTGAGTGGATTCGTGTATAGGGCGCTCTGGATTGCGAGGCGCGCAGTCGTTTTTGATAGGGTTGGAGGCTTATGAGTGTGCCCTGTGGTATATGAGTGAACTGCCGCGAGCCGAATAAGTTCGCCAGGAGGTTCTTCTGGCTCCTTCTGACTGTGGCTCCAATTGACTTACATTAGGATCTTGTTGCCCCTCTCTCTGTAACTGCTGTTGTGAGCCTCGTCATTTTGTTCTTAAAATGTTCATATCAACCCGCTCTACATGATCCTGATTTTTTTTTCGCTATTTTGTCCGCCAAAAAATCTTATTCATAACAGAGTCTGGCTCCAAATTCGCTCCTGTAACCGTGAACATCGTGAGCCTCATTTGAGTAGCGCTGAACACTATGGGTGACGTCACAATCGCTTAGTCCACTTCTTTTATACAGTCTGTAAACTCAACTCTAAATTCACCCCTCTAACTACAAGCATCAATGAACTTCATTTGACTGAGTGACACTAAATGCATATGAAACAAAGGAGCTCATTGGTCACTCATGATTCTAAATAAAATTACATTTCTCTCACCTCAGATTAACAGTTCAGTTTTTTAGTTTTAGCTCATTGATTCATGACTTTTTTTTTGTATATTCTGTTCATTTTTGCTCTGATATATTCGGACCATGCCTGTCCCTCTTCATAAACTAGTGGAGTGTGTATTCTGAATCCCAGGCAAAACATTCTAGGTCTTATTACAAACAGATAAATATGATAATTAGAAACTTCTCAAATCCAGATCTGTATTCTCCATTCAGCTCAACTCATTGATTAAACTTTTACAGTGTAGTCACATTTGTATTCATAGTTTACGGGACTGGCTTCATAGCTGCTTTACACAATGTACATGTTTTTAGAAATATAACAAATATGAAATGAAATGCAAGGTTTGGGAAGAAATAAGTATTTTTCCCAATCAAAGGCAAGGGCGAATAGTGAAATAGTGACAGCCATTTTGTAAAAAGATGTATGGTATGGTTCTCTCTATGCTCAGTCAGGAGGTTGTGGATTCAACTCCTAAATACTTCTTACCATACCATACAACTTCACTTCAAAATTACTTTATATCTGAGCCCTCGTTTTAAGTTTACAAATCGCAAAAAATGTGCCACAGACTTTAAGCCAAAAATAGAACAGCCAAACATCTCGACAGAAGCTGATGTTAAAATAAATGTTAACCTTAGGCTCATTTTGTTCATTGTAGTAGTGTAGTGTAAATAAGGCCAGTGATCCCCAAACCTGGATTTAATGGGACTTTTATTTTGTCTTTTATTTTGAAGGGTCATAGTCTTTGTAACACATTGGAAACAAATATAGAGATTAGGGTTTAATTATGATTTATACATTGTTTTTTTCAAGTGTTACTCAAAATTATCTGAGAATTTTTTTTTTACTCCAGCTCATAATATATTAGCAAATCCAGATAACATTTTTGCTCTTGTAAGTGGGTCAGATTTTAAAAAAATTTCTTCCACTTCATAAAACCACTGATGATTTGAATAATTTCATGAAAATTTTAGCTCATTAAAGTGACTGTACCTGATTTTTTTTTTGTGTTGTGGTGCAAAATGTGTTCTAACCCAGTGTAGATATATTGTGTAAGCAGCTCTTAGAGTCAAAATAAGTCTGTATCTATAAAGTGTATGATAATCAGGAAGTGCACGTTAGCATGCTAGTTGCTGTTAGCATTACGGTGATGGTAAAACTCCGCCGTGCCCTTTTTGAGGAATAACTCTGGACCACTGCAAACTAAAAATCAGGTACAGCACCTTTAAATATGTGGTTCTTTTTTTAAATTGATTTCATAATATATAATGCCAATTTAAAGAAACACAATTTGATAATTAAGTAAAATTTGGTTATAATATGAACTGATTTCAGTAGACTATAGTGCCACAGTTTGGGTACCACTGCCTTAGGTTTCAGAGCTATACAGAGTCATTTCACTCAACCCCACTTTGTTTCAGAATCACATTTGACTAAAAGTTGAGGAGTTGAACTTGATTTTTTTCACATTTTCATAAATAAATAAATGTTTTCGTTAAAGCCATTCGCTCTGGGGGTTTGGGGGAGTTTGAGGAGAGTTTGGGATTGGTAAATTGATTCTATGTGAAGCTCTGCAGAGGCTGGCTGACCCTCATACAGGCCCAGTAAAAGGCTCTGGCCAGAGTCACCAGGACGAGCAGCAGCAGCACCGCCCACGATGCGTAGATGCCCGGGTACATCTGCGCTTTAGCCCACGTGCCCGCCTGCAAGAAGACAGAGAGAGGGAGAGAGAGGGAGAGAGAAAGGGCAGAGGAAGAGAGGAGGAGAGAGAGAGAGAGGAAGAGGAAAGAGAGAAGGAGAGGGGAACGAGAGAAGGTTAGTGCCAATTCATACTTTATAAGAAGTAAGATGTTTGTTCTTACACCAGAAGCTGTAAGAACAAGAACAAACATCTTCTGGGCTCATTTCATACTTGATCAGAAGTTCTGCTGCAAAACTGCTCAGTGCCCCTCCCCATGATCCCCTATGTTTTTGCTATGGAAATAATCAACAGTGCAGTGGCAACACAGATGTGATAACAGTTAAAACATGTTATATTTTCATCAAAATGACTGAAATTTTTACTTTTTATTGCAATTTTGCAAAAGAAAACTGGATTAAAGATTAACCATGCCCACTTTCCAAATCAAACCAATCACAACAGAGATCAAGAGCAAGCTCTACATGATCCTGGTGTTTTTATTTCACCATTTTGTCTGTAAATACATATATGAACATTAATAACAGACCAATCAGGTGCCTTCTTTCCACAATTTGCTCCCACTATTCTTAGCAGCAGGTTTGATTGACACCTGTCAGCCCCAGTGCTAAACCCTCACCTGGTGGGAAGGGACATCAACCTTCAACCACCTTGCCCCTCATTGGCTCTTTGGCTGCTATGATACTCGCACTCAGAATTTCAAATTAGCTGCTCTAACTGTTAACCTCCATGAACACCACCTGTATATGTTGTACACATTCCACAGTTTGAGAAACAGTGACTTTTATTTCTTGAAATCTCAATCAATAAAAAAGATATAACTTGCACATCCCTACTCTTCAGAGAAAAGTCATTATGATCCGGGAATTAAACCTGTGACCTTCTTGTGGCGAGCATGCTCACCAATGAACACTTTAATATATTCATACATATTGAAAGACCTTCTTAAATAACTGTAGAATATATATGTAAAATAAAATGGCTTCATATGCAAATGAGTCATTTTAAGCTGTGGTGATGATAATGAGTCCAATCAGACTGAAGGCCGCAATCAGGGCTCAATATAAAACGCCCTGTGCATTTGAGATGAGGAGTCCAGCCTCTGCACCAAAGACATATGGAGGTTTAAAGAGGCCTGTTAGAAAAAAAATACACTTTTTTAGGCGCTTTCAACCATGTTATAACGTTGTCCTCTCATCAGAAACCAGCCTGAAGAGGTTTTAGATGTCATCCATGCATATTTAAGTAATTCAGCGATCTCTCCTGGGCTCTATTCAAACCCTCCCCGCAGCAATTAGCAGTAAGATTCTGTCCAATGCTCCGCCAACAAGCCTACGTCATTCATGCTCCCACACGACATTTCTCCATAACTATACAAAAACGTGACACAAAATGGTACACTATAACTTCACAAACCTTATGTAGTTTCATTAGCTGAAGTGATAACAATTCACCACAGGCACTATTTCATCAAAAAACAAGTCAAACCAGGCCAGAACTAAAAAAAACAACACGAAAACCTTTTTGCCATATGCACTTTAAGTAATGCACAAAAAGTGAATAGACTTAACCACAAAATTGCAGAACTCTCACTTTATACCCTATTATTATATTTTTAAAGCAAGCCCATTCTGCAAATCAGACTTTTCAGAGCTTTTAACCATGTAACAGCTCTTTCCCCTTCACATTTACCCTCTCGAAGTTGTATTTAGAGTGATTCATGCAGGTTTGAGTAAGCTTATTTTCAAGATGTCATTTTACCACAATTTTTTCACCACCATCAGTACACACCCGTTACGCTGTACTTACTTTGTTCTTTAGTTAAATTTTCTTAATCTAGGATACATGCAGGATTGAGCAGCATCATGTAGTCGTTTTGGAACAAATGAAAAAAATGCTGTGCTCTAGTGTGATGTGCAGCTATCTACAGGAGGAGCCCACAGCATGAGGCGCTTTGTTGTAATGACTTCCTTTATTTAGATGAATATTGTGATTTAAAATTTCCAAATTATAACAATAAATATAAAACACCTTTAAAAATATCTCTCCCAAATCTAACATCAGACAAATTGTGTAATTAAAAGTTGTTTGTGTTTGAGTACTGAGCTTGTGTTATGAATGTAGAAAAAGCTGTTTACATTTCAGACAGTGTTATATAAAAATAAAATGAGTCTTACATAAAGGTTAATAATGTTTTTGAACAAATACAGAGAACATAATTTAATTTGCTTCAATCAGCCTCTGCAACGCTGAGAAAATACACGCTTATAAATCACAATATTCAGGTTTAGTCAGGTTCAACTCTATTTCAGACCTCGTTTAGTCCTTGATTTGGTCCTAGTTCAATCCTTGGTTCAGCTCTGGTTTATCACTGGTTTATAGTTTTTTTCAGTCCCTGGTTTGGTCCCTGGTTTGGTCCTCAGTTTAGTCCTGATTCAGTCCTGGTTTGAACCCTGGTATAGCCCGGATTTAGTCCGGGTTTAGTCCTTGGTTTGGTCCTGGTTCAGTCCTGGTTCAGTCCTGGTTCAGTCCTGGTTCAGTCCTGGTTCAGTCCTGGTTCGGTCCTGGTTCAGTCCTGGTTCAACCTTGGTTCAGTCCTGGTTTAGCTTTACTCCATAGTTTTACACAAACCCACTCTCTGAACACACTGTGCTTGTCACTGCAGCGTGTGGGATATTTGATGGACGTTTAATTTCATATTTAATTATTATTTTGCTCGTTCTCTGCTCCTATTGAAGCTTATGTAAAACTGAGACAGAAGTGGCTCCAATCAAGTGCTAAGTGTTCTGCTGCAGAGCCCAGAATTACTTAATGAAGAGACTTTGAGCTGTGCTCAGGGATTTCTACAGAGTTTGAAAAATTACTTTTTAAACCGCAAAGGAGCAGAGCCAACTGTGAAACCAAAAAAGAGGTGTTACACTGAAAAACTCAACCAAACCAGGACTAAACTGGGACTAGATGAGAGCTAGAATAGGACTAAAGCAGGACTAAAGCAGGACTAAAGCAAAACAAAAGCAAAACTAAAGCAAAAGTAAAGCAGGACTGAAACAAGGCTAAACCAGGACTAAACCAGGACTAAGTCAGGACTAAACTCGGGCTGAACCAGGACTAAACCAGGATTAAACCAGGGCTGAACCAGGACTAAACAAGGATTAAACCAGGGCTGAACCAGGACTAAACAAGGACTAAACGAGGACTAAACCAGGGCTGAACAAAGACTAAATGAGGACTAAACCAGGGCTGAACCAGGACTAAACGAGGACTAAATCAGGACTAAAAACTATACTAGATGAAAGACAGATGAGGGCTAAAGCAGGATTAAAGCAGAACTAAAGCAGGACTAAACAAGAACTCAACCAGGACTAAACAAGGACTCAACCAGGACTAAACCCAGACTAGACGAGGGCTAAACCAGGGCGAAACCATGGCCAAACCAGTACTAAACCAGGACTAAAACAGAGCTAAACAGGATTAAACCAGGGCTAAACCAAGACTAAACAAGGACTCAACCAGGGCTAAACTAGGACTAAACCAGGACTAAACCTAGATTAGATGAAAGATAACCCAGGATTGAATAGGGGCTAAACGAGAGCTAAAGCAGGACTAAACCAGGACTAAACCAGGACTAAAACAGAGCTAAACAGGATTAAACCAGGGCTAAACCAAGACTAAACAAGGACTCAACCAGGGCTAAACTAGGACTAAACCAGGACTAAACCTAGATTAGATGAAAGATAACCCAGGATTGAATAGGGGCTAAACGAGAGCTAAAGCAGGACTAAACCAGGACTAAACCAACCCAGGATTAAACCAGGACTAGAACAGGACCAAACCAAGTCTGCCTTAGGGTTAGGACTAAAAACTTGCAGGTAGTATCAGGGAAGGGAGAAATTCAAAATCCTGGTTTAGTTCTAGTAAAGTCCTGGTTCTGTCTGGGTTTAATCCTGTTGTAGTCCTGTTTTAGTCCTGGTTTAGTTCTAATTTATTCCTAGTCCTGATAGTCCTGATTTAGTTCTGGTTTAATCCTCGTGTAGTTCTAGTAGTAGTAGTTTAGTTTGAAAAAAAAAAAAAAAACACTTTAAAAACCACAGAGGATCAGTGCCAACTGTTAAATGAAGAGAGAGCTGTTACTGAGAATCCAGTGCATTCTTCACTGTGTAATTTTGTGCTAATATTAAACTGGACTAAACCATTATAATTTCTAACTGTATCCTGCTTCATAAAATGTCTTCTAATCAGTGTTAAATACCGACACAATGTGGTGGTGTAAATTTGAGACTGGAACGAGAAGGAACCAAAGTGCGTAGTTTACAGCAGTGATCTACAGGGATTAAACCAGGACTAAACCAGGGCTAAACCAGGACTAAACCAGGGACAAACAGACCAGTGCTAAAACAGCGCTTAAACAGAACTAAACCAAGAGTAAATCAAGACTAGGATTATACCGATTTAGGATGTTTTCCCACTTTCATCTCAAAAATAAGAAACCAAACCAGGACTAAAGCAGAACTAGAACAGGACCAAATCAAATCTACATCAGGTCTAAACAAGGCTCAAACCAGAACCAAACATATTAAACCAGGATAAAACCAGTAAGCAAGGACTAAATCTTGGCCATCAGTGATTCAGGGACTAAACCAGAACTAAACCAGAACTAAAGCAGGACTAAGCCAGGACTATCATGTACATATCAAATCCACTGTAACCATCCTCTTGGCAGTTTATGGAGATAGACACATGTCCTTCTCCTGATGATTGTATTATATCCATGCTTTAGTCCTGGTCGAGTCCAGGTCAGGTTCTGGTCTAGTCTAATCCATGTCTAATTCTTATTGACCATTTGGGGACTTTTCCACTATATTATTGGCATGAGTAGCATGTTTGTCTGTAAACCTGTAGTATTAGTCCTGGTTTTGTCCTGTTTCGTTCCGGTTTAGTCCCGGTTTAATCCTGATTTAGTTGTGGTTTAGTCCAGGTTTAGTCCAGCTTTAGTTCATGTTTAGT